GCTCTGTGTCTGTGAGCTCAGGTAGATAAAATCTGTTCTTTCAACCTGGGTAAATCTGACATTAGAACACCTTATTCCACCCTTTTTAAAGTAACTGAGCGGGGACTACAGAGCTTGACGGAAAATTAAGTATTGTATGTCCTAATAGTTTGCATGCAAGGTGTTTAGGGGGCATCTGTAAATTTTTGTTTCACAAAACAACCTCGGTCCCATGCTCCTGTTCAAAACTGTATGAGTCTTTGCATTTATGTTGGTCACACTGCACCAACCAACCTGTGGGACTCTGAAGTATGGTGAAATGGCCTGCATTATGCATTGCATGTATTGCAAAGAGTGCAGCCAAAACATGGCTGGGAACAGTGTGTTTGCTGTCACAATGTCCTGTGCTGTGACAAGTGCATGACCAGCAGAGCAGCCCCCCTCCCCAGTGTTTCATCTTCAGGTAGCAGCAAACCAAAGCAGTTGGAAATGATAATAAGATGTAGCATCGCTCATAATGTAGCCAAAGAAAAGACAACTTTTTGGAATTTTAAGTCGCAAATCATCCTGATGACAAAGAACAGTAAAATGACCAAAACCTTGTGTATATGAGCTCACAAAAACAATAACACTTTTTATTATACTTTGGTGCCAAAAAATCACGATGGAAATTTTTGCTTGCACCTAAATTATGTGCTGATACACCTCAGTGAAAATGTTAGGGGCATCACTGCAGCTAATATGTAAACTTTAATGGCAATGTACTCAGTAGTTGTCTAGTTATATCACTAATTAGCAAAAATGTCAAAGTCATGCTATTGCCAGAGGAGACATTGTTTTTTGGCAATCCACCCATTAGTTGTTGAGACACTTCCAGTGGACTAAAGTGGTGAACTGACCTACGAACCAAACAACACTGTCGTCCCTAGGGTCACAGCACTAGGGTGGATAGAAAGCAATTGTGAGTCTGATTTTAAATCTCTCCTTCCTTTCATCTCATTTTTGTTTCAGTGGACTGAACTTACTAGATCATCGTTAAAAGTCCCACACAGCTTTCCGCTTTACCCATCTAGTGCAATTCTCCTGCCTACACTCACTCTCTCACACACACATACACAGGCACCTTTCAGTAAATGTCAGATATCCCAGGATTCAACTTCAATGTCTTTTAGAAGCCAGAGCTTTGTACTACCGTGAACAGGTCAGTGTCCATGAAGCTGTGCCCAGCGCTTCCTGGAAATGGCCAATATCTCTCTCTCTCTCTCTCTCTCTCTCTC